TGGGGGATGATTTCTCGCTTTCTGTCTCTATGTCTCTCTCTGTCTGGTGAGCACACGTGCCCTATAGCAAAAACCTCTCAAAAAAAAAAAAAAGATAATTCCAATCTCTGTGTCATGTTTAGTATTGGCATTTCGAAATTGCTTTTCTGTCATCCAATTCTCATTTTCTTGCTGTTTTTTGTTTTGTTTTGTTTTGCTTTGTTTTAATTGTATCCTTGACATTTTGGGTGTTACGCTATGCGATTCTGGGATATGTCTGAATCTCGTGATTTAGCAGTCCTTCTCTGACACTGTGCTGTCAGGGAAAAGGGACCATTCCTCTTAATTCTCAAGTGTGGATGGAAGTCCAGTTTACCCATACTACCGTGTTTGACAGACACCCTGGGGAAGAGTACCTCATTACTGTTATGTAGAAATGGGATTTTAGGCTTCTATTGTGTGGTCTCACTTACTTTGGAATGATGCCCTGATTATTACTGGTAAAAGTCTTGGCTTCCCATCAGGCTTATTCTGACACAAACAGGTATGGGGTGTCCTTGTTTTTGCCAGGTGGGTATGGAGGTCCTGGTCCCTCATTTGGTCTTCAATGATATCACCCCAGTATGGAGAAAAAGAGATGCCACTATTTAGATATCAAAGCTTCTCAAGTCACATGGGAGTGGGGGGTTTTCTGTTTTTGTTTTCTTGTGGTGTTTGGCTAGAGTAAGATAGTTATTGTCTGTTTTCTGTCTTTTAGCTAATGCATGAAAGTTTGGCAGTCTGTTTAGAATGTCAACCAGCCACAATATCCACTTAAGCCAAAGACTAAAATTGGTCCATACTGGATTTTTGGCTAGAGAGTTTTTATTGGGGGGGGGGTCATACGTGGGCACAAAGAAACCCCAAAGAACATATAGTTATGTCATTCTTTGGATTCTGGGATCACTAGTTCTTTGCCTCTGTCTGTATCTTTCATTATATTTGTTTTATATGTAATCTCCAGGGTTTTTAGCTATACCTAGTGAGAGATATAGGGAGAAGCAGTCTTCTCTATCTTGAGTTATATTTTAAATTCTTGGCAACTAATGTAATAATTCATTTTGTCATTTAGTTTTAAAGTGAGAGTACTGATTTGAATGACCCACAAGAAACTTGAATGATGACATAAGAAAGGTAAATATTGGGTTTATGAAAGATACTGCTTCAGGCCAGCCCAGAGCATGGTGGCTGGGGCAGCTGGATCTCACATGGCTGAATTTGTGATTCAAGTCCTGGAAAAGCATGCCAAAGATCCTGAGGGGAGGGAGAAGTAGAGGACGAGGAAGTGTGGCATGATCGCTCTGCATGGAGAGTGCTTTCTTACTTTTCCTCTTTGTCTCTGGTGAATGCATGTGCCCTCTGGCAAAAAACTGAACTAAAATAAAATGTTTCTTCACTGTAATAATGAATTAAGCTTTGAAATCCTATCATACTATAACAAGGTAAGTAGAAAGAACACCTCACGTGTTTTAAACATGTAGACATGTACACTGTTTTTACTTTTAAGAAGAAATGATACTGAAAAGATGGTGGCAGAGGAACCTCAGCAGCAGAATCAGGAGCCACTGGGCTGTGACTCCGAGGGTGTTAGCTGTCTGGCCTATGATGAAGCCACCATAGCTCAGCGGGACCAAATTCAGCAAGAGACTGCTGGGCAGAACCCTCTGGTGTCAGAGCGGCATATGCTGAGGATGACAATATCTACCAACAGAAGGTCAAGGATCTCCACATAAAGTACTCATACATCCAGAAGACCAGGCCCAATGACAACTGCTTCTTTCGAGCTTTTGGGTTCTCTCGTTTGAAGGCACTGCTGAATGATAGCAAGGAACTGCAGTGGTTCAAGGCTGTGTCTGCCAAAAGTAAAGAAGACCTGGTGTCCCAGGGCTTCACTGAGTTCACAATAGTGGATTTCCAAAACACATTCATTATCTTATTGAGCAGGTGGAGAAGCAGACCTCTGTAGCAGACCCACTGGCCTCCTTCAATGACCAGAGAACCTCAGATTACCTAGTGGTCTATCTGCGGCTGCTCACCTTAGGCTACCTGCAGCGGGAGAGCAAGTTCTTTGAGCACTTCATTGAGGTGGAGGGTGTAGGGGAGCGGGGATTGTCAAGGAGTTCTGCCAGCAGGAAGTGTAAGCCATGTTCAAGGAGAGCGACCACATCTACATCAACGCATTGGCCCAGGCCCTCAGCGTCTCCATCCAGGTGGAGTACATGGACTGTGGCCAGAGTGGCACCACCAACCCACACATCTTCCCCAAGGGCTCTGAGCCTAAGGTCTACCTCCTCTACCAGCCTGGACACTACGATATCCTCTACAAATAGAGCTGGCCTTGGCTTGCCGCTGCCCTGCCTGCACTCCCCTCTGACAGGCGCTAGACATGTACAGAGGGTGTTTTTGTGGTTGTAAATGGTCTTATTTCACTCCTCCCTGATTCCTGTTGCACAACCTTCCATGTTATATTAAAGGGGGATGTTGGTGGTGAAAACAAAACAACAACAAAAAAACAAAAAGAAATGATACCACTAAAGACTTGTACACAAATGCTCACAGAAGTAATATCTATAAGAGCCCGAAACTGTAAACAACCCAACTGCCACTCAACTAGTAAATTAAAAAATTAAATAAAATAAATCCATATGACTAAATACTATTTGAAAATAGCAGGGAATGAAGTACTGACACACAGCACCATTTGGATGAACCTCAAAAACATTATACTAAGTGAAAAAAAGCCTGTCATAAAAGATCTCATACCAAATGATTCCATTTACAGGCATACTTTTCTTTTTATTGCATTTTATTTTGTTGTTCTCCACAGACTTGCATATTTTTTTTTTTTCCCAAACTGTGGCAACTCTGGCTCAAGCAATTGTACTGTTGTCATTTTTCCAATAGTATACGCTCACTTCATGTCTATGTCTTTGGCAATTCTCACAATATTTCAAACATTTTCCCATTATTGTATCATGAACTGTGACCAGTGATCTTTGATGTTACTACTGTAATTGTTCCGGGGTACCACAAACTGTACTCATGTAAGGTGAACTTAATAAATTGTGTGTGTGTGTGTGTGCGTGCATGTTCTAACTTCTCTAAATTTTCTATTCTTCCATCTTTCTCCTTATCCTCAGGCTTCTCTATTCACTGAGACACAATATTGCAATGATAGCAGTTAACCCTATGATGGTCTCTAAGCATTCATGTGAAAGGAAGATTCATGCATCTTTCCAGTGAACATACAAATCATATGAAAATAAAATGGCTTGATTGCTGATGTGCTGAATGTTTTAGTGGTCTGGATAGAAGAGCAAACCAGCCACAATATTCCCTTAAACTAAAGTGTAATCTATAGCATGA